TATATATATGAGCGCTGCACTATTATATGACGTGTTATAATTTTGTGATTTGTCACATTAATTCATTTGTATATCGCAGGTTTACTACAATGAATTGGAGACGCGTGTGCGACTAAGTAAACGGCGCCAGAAGGTCGGACAACAGCCAAACAACACGCGGCTGATAGTGCGTCATCGACCGTTAAACGCCAATGAATTCAGAATGCAAAGATATCGAGAAAAACAATTGGAGCCGCCGGGAGAGGAGGATGAGGATGAGGAGGAGGAAGAGGAGGAGGAGGAGGAAGAGGAGGAAGAGGAAGAGGAGGAGCAGGAGACTCAACAAGAGAAGGCAGATATGGTAGCTAAAGGTTCGTTTACTCTCTCTATTCACTATGATATAATTGGAAAGGGCAGACTAGCACTCTGAAAATTTTTCCGATAATCAGAAAATTTATTTGCAGGTTCCGAAGCAGAGAACGAGGAAGGATCGACGCGCGCATCGTCAAGAGCATCCTCGCAGGCGTCTAGTAGAAAGTCGCGATCTCGTTCCAAGTCTGGCTCAAGATCAAAATCGAAGTCGAGATCAAGATCTAGGTCTAGATCAAAGTCGAGATCGAGATCGCGTTCGCGTTCACGTTCGCGTTCGCGTTCGCTGTCGCGGTCACATTCGCCATCGAAATCTAGATCACCGTCTCGATCGCGTTCGCGTTCTCACTCACGTTCGCCATCTAAATCACGCAGTAAATCACGATCACGATCTCGATCCGGCAGTCCTCAATCGAGAAACACATCAAAGTCGAGATCTAGATCCAAGTCGAAATCACGCTCAAGATCGCCTGTGAAATCACCATCGGGATCTTTGTCGACTTCATTGTCTGTGTCACCGTCAAGATCGAGATCCGGTACTGGTAGCGGTTCCGCTAGCGCGACCGGCGAAAGCGGCTCCGAGAGCGAATGAATTTAGATTCGCGATTAATAATACTAATGTAATTAATTCATTTCCACTTGAATCATTATTTCAACGAATGTTCGTTTATATCATCGATATTTTTAAATATAGCAATCCTGCCGAATATCAGAATAATTGCATACTGAAAAAATAATAAAAAGGATTTCTTTAATAATTATTATGATAAATAATCGTTACAGGGTGTTCAGTGGTACGATCAAAGAAATAAATTTATTAGCCATATACATATATATTTTATGCATTAAGGTAGTTGCTACGACAATCCGCAGATATAAGAAAAAAATCCATCATTGTGTTTCGGAATTTTTATGATATTTAATTTTGCGATATACTTTGGTCGAGAAACGAAATAAGAAAAAATAAGACTTAAATTGTTCGAAGAGTTTTCCAGTGCAATATTGACGACAATTTTATAATTTTTATTTTCATTTCTTTCCGTCGATATGCGTTCATTTTGATACGAATGTAAACCATGTGAAGCGATTAAAAAAAAAAAGATTTGATAGAGCTATCTGTTATTTGATTAATATCCTGTGCAAATTTTTTGATATCGTGAGAAAAAATCGCTCATATATTTGGATAAATTGGAGAAACGTAACGTAAATTTTCTCAAAGAGTGTGAGACCAGAGAGAAAACTAGAAGTGATGATATGGGGGTGGCGATTTTTATTAACCGCAAAATATAATATCTAGAGCTAAAATCAGAGAGAAGCTTGAAAGCGGTCATGCCTAGCCGGGATTTAGCTGTTACTTTATTTTGAAGCGCCTCTATGTCGCAAAATGTGAACATTGAACTACGTAGCCAATGTCCACAAATTTCGGTCGATTAGACAGATAAACTGTAATGCCCAATTTCTTCACTTCTAGATAAGTTGCGGATAATCTTATTCAGGGAAATATCTCCATTCTGAGAGATGTCTCTTGGATAAAATTACCTAGAGATGAAGAAATTGGGCATAAGTTGTCATGTAACAAGACGTACTTATTATAAAGCGCCAACAGATTGATTGTTCGTCTTTGTCTATCTAACGGACCGAAATTCGTAGACATAGCAAAGAATACAATCAAAAAATCGTGAACATTACCGACTGGATCCATGGACATTGGCTATGTAGTTCAATATCCACATTTTGTGGACATAGAGGCGTGCTTCAAAATAAAAAAATCCCAGCCGGGTATGGCCGCTCTCAGGCTTCTTTCTGCGAAAATGCTTTGCACATTATCGCTCTCTAAAAAAGTGGATGCCAACTACAAAACAATAAAATTTACTTTATTGAATCTTTTCTTGCACGAGAAAAGATTCAGTACTAACTTCATGACGCGAAACATATTGGTTTCATAGTCGATTCTTACAGTCTTTAAGACTGTCTTAGGTATGTACAATCTTATAATGTCGTAAATCAATCAAAATCCGAGGACTGTATTAACATCTTAAGACATTATATTTAAGATAATTTTAAAATAAAAGCAGACTATGAATATCGACCCATGTTTTTTGTCTTTCACGGTTGGAAGACTGCGCACTTAGCGGTTCCGCAATAAAAGAATTTCAACCTATCAGAAACTGTGTATTCCACAATACATGATTTCTGATAGATTAAAATTCTTATTCTCTGTTTCCTGTTCCTTTTATTGTGCAGAGCCTCTTAGAATCATTCCACCAAACTTGCATAGCCACATATGTATAAAGAAAATTATCCAATCATATTTCTGTCATAAAGACAAATGTAAAATGCCATTGGATGATTTTCTTTATGCATAAGTTTGCGGCTACGCAAGTTGTGTGGAATGGCCTTTAGAGACGATATGAAGCAAAAATAGTAGATTTTACCAAAGCTGAGCACATCATGAGTGCTTTCCAATTACTTAACACAACATACACAGGAATGCATAAAGTGTATGCACATTGTGCACAAATTGGAACAGAAAGTGTACATAGTTGAGATCCGTTTCGGATAGAGTTAGATTAAATGTAGCTTTTTCCGCCTGTATTAAACGAAAAAAAATTAAAAATGCCACTTAACGTCTTCCAATCTCATTTAAAGCCGTCGTAGTTAGTAACATGTAATTGTCTCTAGAAAATACAAGCTTACACAGCCTTCGACTGAGTACAAATATGTAGCATTGTTATCTACGATAACGGATAATTAGAACTCAATTTATGTTGCCATGTGCACGAAATTGTCTAGGGATATTGTAATTGGAAAGCACCCCATGTAATCTGACGTAATCCTTCCATCATGGAATATAGAGGTTTGTTCGCGTCGCATGTTTCAACATGTTGTAATGTGCTGCTACCATAGTTCTTACTCATTCCAATGCGCTTGATAGAGTGAGTAGGAATTGTGGTAGGAGCATGTTGGAACATGTTGGACCTTGCGACGCGAACAAATCTCAGGATACTCGTTTGCACATTGCGTCATCTCTTATACGATACGATGAACACAACCTATTCGAATGAAGGTCGATCGGTCGATGTCGACAATTACCGAAGAGCATATTGACAGTCTATCTATGTGACTATCCGTGCCGTGGATACCGGTTGACGCTAGTGCCGTTGACTAACTCAGCTAGCAACTAGTGACTGGTGAGTCAGGTGAGTGGTGGCACTGGTAGCTACTGGCTGTTAGCATAGTAGCTCAAGTGGCTGTGGTTAAAGGGTTACTGGTGGTTACGTTCGATCATATTGATTCACGTTGGATGAAGATTAAGCAAGGTGATTTAACGAGAAGTATGAGTGTCGAGTAGGTAAAAGAGAGCTACATGGACGAATCTTTCGCTGTTCCATATCGCGATAATGAATCTCACGAGCCTGCGTATATGCAATAATGCCAAGTGCCTCGTGCGTGTTAATTTAACATTGGTGGTGTGGTTACGCACTCCGTCACTCTTCCGTCTTCGTCCGGAATTCATATCAGCTCCGCTCCATTTCTCTCTCTCTCTCTCTCTCTCTCTCTCTCTCTCTCTCTCTCTCTTCTATGCATACATGTTTAGTCAAATATATGCGTTCAAGCGTGTTGGAAGAGCGCAATTGAAGTGGATCGATACAAATGGACAAGTTGGCGTGCCACGCGTTGCGAGAGAATGCAAACAGAAATCGGCGATAGATATCGTTTCATTTCAAATTTTGTGTTCGAGACGAAGGAGAGGGAGCGCATCGTACTTGGCATCGTATCCAAATTGTCATTTGAATATTTACATTAGTGCAATTGCTAAGCAACTTATTACATATACTGAAAACATTGACTCTGAGAGAGAGAGAGAGAGAGAGAGAGAGAGAGAGAGAAAGAGAGAGCGCGCATTAATTGCTGTCTCTTTCTTCCACTTCCCTCTCTCTTCTGTACAATCCTATTCTGATACTGCAATTGATTGCAATGATCCACGCATCCATTTCACTGCGCGAGATAAACAGTTTTATACTCGTATTATCGCGTCGCGCATAATTTAATCATCGCGCACTCTGCGAGTGGAACGGAAGAGAAAACGACGAAGAGAGAGAGAGAGAGAGAGAGAGAGAGAGAGAGAGAGAGAGAGAAAGAGGAGAGAGGTAGGTGGGTGGGAGAGACGTATCCATTTGGATCTCTTGATGATGGTAGACCGAAATCGAGGAGGACGGAATCCCGACGGAGTGGTGAATAGAAGTTGACGCACGATGTGGATGACCGATAGACGGGAAGAAAAAATCGCGTAGATACCGTCCGTGAAGAAAAAATAAACTAAAAAAAATGATAGAGCGAGAGATGACTATTTTCCGTTATTTGCCGACGCGATCGTATATATATATATATATAATACGTCACATACTTGATGTTTTTCATTTATACATATGTATGTGATGGAGTGCCGTGTATTGCGCATCAACCAGCACCAACGATCGCTGCCACGGTCGATGATGTCAGATTTATATAAGAGTTTAATGTTATCAATTCGCGGAAACGAGCCGAGCGAGCACGATTGTAAGACTAATAATGTGTGAGTGAAAATCATTACGAGAGCTTTCAACAGATTTTTAAAAAATCCTCCCATCTTCGTTAAATTTGTTAAGTGAAGCGAGATATTCTTGGGAATATCATCTTTTTCTATTTATTATTTGGCGATACTTAATCAAATTGGAAAGCATGGATTCGCAACGCGAAAGATTGAATTGAAATAGGATTAATTTCTCAAAGTTATGCCATATATAATATATAAATATTTCAAGGATTTCATTAGATGATACTTTTACATATTGTTTACGTTAAGCGAGCCACAAGCGATGCAAAAATTTCTGACTTAAGCTGCAGTCGTGCGTCACGATGAAATCCGTTGGCGGTTTCCGAGAATTTTTGAGTCGAGGCTGTCCTGGCCTGTCGTCTTGAGTGATACACGCGAAGGTTTTTTTTCACAAAACAGCGATCTCGAGGCATGGCCTTATTGAGTAAATACCACAATACGGAGTACATTGGCGTTACGCGACAGTTAACATAAAATTAACGTAATGAGTCTGTATCGGACAGTTAAAGCACAAACCGATATCAATATTTGTCAAGCATCTACTTCTCTTCGCAATCATTAGCGTGACACAGTTGAAAACAATTGTGATTTATCACATAGGTATTTAAACTGTACAGGAAAAAAGATATAGTTCAAGTTTGAAGCGTTCTTGGAGCGAACAATCGTCAAGTTCTAAAATAAAGATGTAGTATATTGACAAACAGCTTAAAAGCTGCTGCTATGTACACTTAAATTTGAGATACGTTTTATGTTTAATTGTAAGAAACGAGAGAGAGAGAGAGAGAGAGAGAGAGAGAATGATTAGGTATCTTTATTGTCCTTCTTATCTCAATTTCTAACTAACCAAGACTTAACTTTGCATGTTAATTTAGATGCCGAAAAATAAAGAAAATAGCAAGCGAAAGAAGCAAATGGAGGACGAGGGCGACGAGGATTATCGAAAGCGGCGGGATCGGAATAACCAGGTAATTTATCAGTTTTGCATGTAAATTGTTCATGTGTATATGTATACTATATATCGTTGTTCCCGCGCTGTCCACAGGCTGTGAAACGATCGAGAGTGAAGAGTAAATTACGTACGCAACAAACCTTGGAACGAGTAAATCAACTGAAAACGGAAAACGAATTGTTGGAAGAGAAAATTAAAATGCTCACCAAGGAGCTTGGGTTTCTCAAGGATCTTTTTATTGCACACGCAGGTAGATATATCGTTATTAAGATATACAAAATTATTGTCAAATTGTTAAATCTTTTGATATGTCTTACAAACAGTTTGTAGATTAAGTATTATATAAGTAATTTCTATAGTTATTCTTGTGCTTTATCTCTGATATATGAGTAGTATTCATTATAACAACACACGAGTTTAGTTGATTATTTGTTTAAAAATAAATATATTAGTCAAGTATACACGCACACACACACACACACACACACACACACACACACACACACACACACACACACACACACACACACAAAACAGATTTTATTGTTTTATTTTTAGGAGGTTCCGGTCAACAGTCGATGAATATTCAAGATTTAGATCTGAATTCTCTCCTGGCGGAAGAAAAACCGACGGAAGAATCATCGGTTATAAAGACGTCAGTTATCAAGTCGACTACCAAGCTGTAAACCTATGCGAGCTCCACGTGAAGAAATCAGCGTGGTATTAAATTTGAAAAACGCGAGACAGTATTTTGTCTTTGACTCGCTCAATCAAAACAGAGCAAGTGGACATCTTGGAAAGATGTTGACTTGAAATTCATTGAAAAAGATTCTAGATGCGAAGAGCGTTTTCCGAAGACGGATTTTTCAAGTTGCAGTGCATCGTCAGTGAATTATCGTCAGTTAAATTTACAACTTGTCGAAAACTGATGAAGACGAGAGTGATGCAACTGTCGCATACAACTCGCAATAAATTTGAATACGAAAGTATTCATTTTAATTGTTAGCCAGTGGAGAAAAAGTAATGTAAACGGTACACGACAAAAATATCACCAATATGTACATGTTGCAGATATTAGAGCATTATACATATGTCACACGTATTTTGCGATCGTATTTTGTACTAACGTACTGTTCGCGCGAGATGTGGCTTTTACTGTGAGATGTTATTTACATATACATATGGAAATAACAAAAGGGGAATTTTCTTTTAAACATTTATAAACCAAATAATGAAAGAAATATCATTAAAATATTTATTTTATTGATTGTAACATATATGTATATTATACGAATATAATTTTTCGAAAATATTTTTACTTTCGTAGAAGAACGTTTTTGACATGTATCCAACTATTATTAAATTAGATTGATTTAGCGACAACGTTGGTAGTTTTCCCTAATACAAACAGCGCATTTAAATTTGTGCATTGATTTAAATTGATTTGAAAATTATTTCAAATGTCTTTTCCTTCTGATTATCGATACCTATTAGGGCTATTTAAAATTTGCTAGTAATCAGATTCTTCCAATACGTTACTAATAATACATTTTATACATTTTATACATTACATTCGAGCAATGTAAATAAAACAAAAAAGTTATCGTGTGATTTGAAATTTGATTTCAATACCATTGGAAATGCACAAATTTTTATTTTATAATATATATCGAATATATTTGATGTGAAAAAAAACAAGGTAATTAAATAAATTGCCAATGATTGGTAAACACCCGGAGGGTCGTCCCCTGCCAACGGCCTCACCTATATATTTCTGTGTGTTCGTAAAGTGTGCACAATCGTCATACTGATCGAATAAATCCCGAAGATACATAACGTTTTGTATTCTAGACTAGCAGTCTTGGCACATTTTCCTCTCGATAAAAAAATTAGCCTCCTAGATTTTTAGCATCCGGGAATATTAATCATGTTTCTCAGAATTTTCGTGGTCATGAAGCAAGTGAAAGATAATTACTCACGTTAGTATAAAAAAGATGGAGACAACGTTACAGGATTTCAAATTAAGGTTTATTTACTCTTGGATATAGGTGATGCTTTTTAAAAAGTCAAGTAGAGTGAAAGAGCAAAGTGCTTTTAATTACTAAATTTAGCATGCTAAAAAAGAAAAAAAATGAAACACCACTCGATGATGGTCCGGCATCGGAGTAGAGGGAGGGCTCAGGGCAGCACAGGGCACCTTGAATTCCGCGTACATGCCTGAGTCGTCTGTATCAGCGCTGACAGCGCTGCCCGCTGGTGCCGCTCTAGCAGACGACATGTTGGCTGCCAGGAGCACCTCGCCGAATCGCCAGCGCCTCAAAGTCGAACGTTTCGGTTTCGGCACCAGCAGGCACTAGGCACTTTCGGCCGCGCGACTCGCGAGTTGGTTTCTCAGATTTCTCTGGGGAACTACTTGAGTGAGGAGAAGAGACAAGCGCTGGTGGCGAGAGAAAGACGTTTTTCGCAAAAGAGTTACTCTTACTTGCTCTTAAAGTAAGAGTGCATATGTAAGGACAGCGCGAGAGAAGGTACGCGAGGGTGCGAATTTTATTCCCCGAGTGTTGCCGCTTGCTGTGATTGTCGACAAGGAGGAGTTGTCGGCATAGAGAGGGTGGAATAGAAGAGCGAAAGAAACGGGAAAAGAACACGAAAAAAGAAAAGAAAAAGACGAGGGATTCGGGAGGGGCTGAGTCTTATGAACAAAAAGTATCCTGTCGGGGACAAAATCTATAAGAGAGTGAGAAGGAGGAGCAGAAGAGGGACTCATAACGCTCGTAACTCATAAGTCATATCGGCGAAAAGCACAAAGAGGAAGGAAATCACGAACGCGGAGGGCGAGGCAAGATTTTCTCTTTTTCGGCCAATTAGTGTCTTCGCGCCGATCAGTCTCTCTGGAGTCTATCTATTTCAACTGTTGAACGTCTCGCCGTCGTCATATCGGCGGAATAAAAAAGAGATTTGCGTCGAGGAAGCGAGACGAAACGAAGCGAGGTCGTGCATTTTACGCGCCGTGTGTCCCTCAACTAACAAATCGGATTCGCGTGTACATATATCTCTCTCTCTCTCTCTTTCCATCTCTTCCTCCTTCTTTCGCTCTCCTCTTGTCGTCCCTCTCTCTTGTGCCGACCGTATCGCCGGAGACGTCGCGGCGAGGGCGAGGGGGAGAGAGAGGAGAGATAGAGAGAGATCGCGCCTCACCTCGCGAGACTAACGACACTAACCAATAAAGACTATAAAGAGAGAGAGAGAGAGAGAGAGAGAGAGAAGAGAGAGAGAGAGAGAAGAGAGAGAGAGAAAGACAGAGTCGTGTTTCGCGTGGTTTTCCTATACGTGAGCGTGCGTGTCGCGGGAGCAACCTCAGGTGAAGTGGCCTGAAATAGCCTCCACGTGAACGGAACACAGATTCGCGCCGTGATCTCGATCTCTCGACTTCTCGACTGCAGAGGTAACTTGGACGTCTCTGTCGTCGTCATTGCACTCCTGACTCGATCAATCGCCGCCACTATCGCTGGGTAGCGAGTGTCACGCGCGTTTGCTATTGTATATTCTGGACTAGATAGCAGCGTCCGGAGACCATCATTACCGTCAACAGTCGACTTCGCCATCGCCATCGTCCGTCATCGCCGCAGTTGGCCGCAGTCGCCAGTCGGCTGAGTCGGCTGTTCGGCACTCTTGGCAGTCGTCGACACCCCGCCGACCGAGACGTTCGTTCGTTCGTCCCTCCTTCTATTCTCTCACTCTCTCTCTCTCCCCCTCCCCCTCCCCTCTCGCTTCGACGTGAGCGGTGAGTGAGCGAGAGAGGTGGTCGGCGCGCAACACCGCGCGAGAGGGAGGGAGAGAGAGTGAGCGCGCGACACAAGGCTCTCTCGCACTCGCAATCAGTCTCGCCCGGCGCGGAGCGGAGCACTGCGGAGCACTGAGTTTATGGTTCGTGATGGTTATGGTTTCGCGGCCAGTGGAGGCCGTCAGTGATAGAGTGTGCTCGTGAGAGTCGTAAGTGCCGCCGCTGCCGTTGCCGCCGTCGCCATCAGATACACGCGTGTGTTTATACGTCAGAAGTGAGAGACGGACAAACGACAGAGCGATCGTCGTTTTCATCGCTGCCGCTATCGCCGTCCCCGCCACCGCCATCGTCGCCGTCGCCGTCGCCGTCATCGCCGTCGCCATCACCGCTGCCACCGCC